CGGTGCCTTTCTTTTCCCCGAAGATTTAGTCCCAAACGTTGACTACGTAAATACTCTAATTTCGAACGCTTTTGGCGCCATGCCACCCCACCCTTACCTGACTAGAATATGCCTTGCTTTCATTCATACATTTCTCGTGTCTGTCTAATCTCGATCAAAAAGTAAATCTAAAAGAGCTTTGTTATAGTAAAGCGCTTGTCGTCGTACCAGTGTGAGTGGTCGTAGCTACACTACAAGCATTGAGCCATACGGCTTCGTCAACTATTTCTCCTTGGCTTTACATGCTTTGTGTATCCAGCACATTTCCTTATTCAGAATAACGGTTTACAGTTAACGGCAATTGAGTTCTACGACTGCTTTCTCCGTATTAATCACCATTACAGCCCCAGAACCTCAGAATTTGGTTTTTCGTCGAAACTTTATCGAGGGGATAATTCGATGCTCTGGTTACGAAAACGTTACGTTCATTTTGGCTTTGGCATAGTTGAATGTCATTTTGTAGTTAAGGCACCAAATTTTTGAAAGGCAAAGTTTCGACGAAAAAATGAAATTTTGAGATTTTGGGGGTTGTATTAGTTGATAAGAAAAGCATAAAACTCAAGTGATCTGTTGCGTAATAAAGCGTGTGCGTTTCCTGTGCTTCCAATTCCAAGGTGTTCTTGTGTAGACTAACTGGTTTAGTTCCGAGACGTGCTTGAATTTGCGGGTTTCCAGTATGAAAAGGCAGGAGTGGGGCATTCGACTCACTCGGCATAATAGGAGTCACTATATTTAAAAGCGGTCAGTATAGCTTTTTCCGTAATTCGTCTTCATCTATCAGCAGAAACCAAGTCTTCTGGCTATAATGATAGCTATGATACATATGTGACACTATCCGATGCAACATGTTAGGAAGGCTTGAAAGCAAAGCTGTGCTGTGAACAGTTTGTTTCAATTTGTGGTAATGGTGAGGGGAGGGACATTGCGGAGCAGAGCGCACAACTTAATTACTTTTCGAAAAACATTTTGCTTAATCTTAAACGTTTAGGAATGTGCTTCAACAGGGAGGAGAGAGACTCCGGAGTGCGCAAGCAACTTTTTCCGGTGTTACTCACTCTCCTAGGGTCAGTCATCCCAAAGTTCTCTCTCTAACTTACAGTTGCTTCTTCGCACCATCTAGCACAACAAAAATCTGTACAACACACAAAAATTCGTATTTGATGAGTTTGTAGAGGGGGGTCGTACTTGCTTCGGTTGTAAGAAGTTGCATGTGATGAGTGGGGAGCGGCGCGGGAGAAAATTTGCCGTTTCAGCGCGCGTATATATACCCCCTTAGAAAAGGAAGTAGTGGGAGTATAGGTAAAAAATGGATTGAAATGGCGGAAATAGAAGGGAAATTTGGAGGGATATTTACCGTTAATACCCCCCCCCCCCCCGCTCGACGGCATTTTTGGAGGAAAAAGTGGGCGGGGTTTTGATGGAAGATGGAGATGGTGGAGGTAGGGAAAAGGGGGTCGTATCAAATCCACCTTGGGGGAGGGGGGTCGTAAAAATTTTTTCGAAAAGTAGCAACGATAGGACCGACCCTGCTCACGACGACGCCCCTTTTCCACTTTTCGGTCGCGTGGGACGGACGCGATTTTGTGGGCGCCGCCGCCTCACCACATAACCGCAGATTTGTTTTTGTAAATGAACAAAAACATGAATGTCACAAAATAATTTCTGCAATGTCCAATGCGTAAAGATTATCTAAACATATAACAGTAGGATTTCGATCAGAACGACAAATAGTGGTTACGAAAAGAGAGCATTTATTCACTTTCCCCGTGAAGGAATTTAAAAGCATTTTACACTCGATTACGAGGTTTGCCCACCTATCTGTCCATTCCTAGCGCCTGGCAAGCGATTATCAGTTGGCAGCCCATATGGGCTGCCATCGTCCCAGGAGCGCATGTTGTTGGCAGCCCATA